GTACTGATTGGTATCGAAATACCTTCGTTCTCTATACATACAATTCGCTTCCATTGCTATCAGAACTTGCTAGTCTGATAGTCTTTTATTACTATGCGAAACTATCAATAATGGTTTAGCAGCATAGGCAAGAGACATATTAGACACTCTTGCGTCTAGCGGTGTGCCTCTTTCTCCTTCAACACTCAGGACTCATAAGACTCTTACATTTTTTAAATATTGTTTCTTTGAAATTTCGATTCTAAAAAATATATAAATAATAAATACAAATTTAAGTATTTATCATTTGTCTTCTATTATGAAAACAACATCGCAATGTGTAAATAAAATAATTAAATATATATCACCTATACTCAGGGCTGTGTATGGATAACCTATGCTTCGTGGATTGTGGATGCATCGCTGTGCTACTCGCCTTCGTAATGTGTACTGTTTACCTATGCTTTAAGGACTGCATGTGTATCGCTGTGCTGCTCACCTTCGCAGAGTGTACTGTCGCCTGTGCTTCATAGGTTGCGTATGCATCGATGTGCTACTCGCCTTCGCAATGTGTATTGTTCAGCTATGATTTAAAAATTGCATGTGTATCGATGTGAGTACGCAATGTGTACTGATCGCCTGTACTTATCGATGTGCTGCGCTAACAATGTAGCATTCGCTTATTACATATCTGAAATGTTTTATCGAATTGCGGTTTATGATTTTGAAAAGTGGTGTTTGCCTGCTTTGATTTACTCCAGGCTTATATCAAAAGGTGTAATCGTCCATACACTCAATCCATGCTGTACTGTCTGCGTGGTGGTGGTTGTATTACTTGCTAGCTGAATGTAATAAATATAATCAATAGTAGAAATTCTCCGTCTTAACTAACAATTCTTCCATTGCTCCGCCCCAGATTTCTTGTACTTGCCCATAATCCCATTGTTGTACTTTTCCGCACACTCCCCGTTCCCCTGCCACTCGACCCCGAACACCGCCTTGTTTGCTTTTGCGAATTTCTGGTAATGGCCACATTCATTCCACTCTTGATAGAGTGAACATGATTCGTTGATACCAAAGTCAATCACATCAAATAAATCATCTATCATGTCTAAAGCATTTTTCAGTCCAAACAGTAGTCCCAAGTTATGCGCGGTATCTGCTGACCACTTGAAGTATTCTTTCTCGAGAACCAATAGCTCGCTCACAGAATAACCTTGTTTGCAATCATCTCCGTAGCCATAGCAATCAAAGTTATCGGCTTCCACCCCTGTATATATGTACATAAACGCATTTTAATTCTTTTCTTATGTACATGTATAAATATATATGTATACACACATATATATATCTCTATATGCATAGTATATATGTGTATACATATATATAAATATGTATGTACATATATAAATATAAATTCATATCTATATCTATATGCATAATATATTTGTATACATATGTGTGTACACGTTTGTGTGCATGTGGGTGTGTATATATCGTAGCGTACGATACTATTGCACTCAAGACCTGTAAAGAAGTACTTCAACGTAGCAAAATCAGATATCAATCGTAGTCGTACTTGCACCTATTTCGTGCTGTACATTCAGCAGTCAAATGTAGCTGTACTGGTGTATTTGAACCTTTGATTCAATGTTATGGATTGATGATCCTTAATTTATGCTCTTATGATGTTGTGAGGTGTATTCGCACTCTCTGTCAGCACAAATAGTTACATTCAATTGCTACGATATATATATATATATATGTGTGTGTGTGTGTGAGAGAGAGATAAAGCGAGAGAGTGTGTGTACACGTGCATGAATGTGTGTACACCGTGCATACCTGTGGGGATACGTAGGTGGGTGTGTACACATATATACCTGTATGTGTAAATACACGTTTGTGTATACATACGTACACAGTCTGACGTACGAATCCCAACAAAACATTTTCATGAACACGATCAAGTCTAATGTAGATATGTCTATTGAAACACTTTGGCGATGAAAATTTGTATAAGTTCTGGCTATGCGGACTGTCCTCGAATAGACTATCGGTTTATCAATAAATCACGAATTACAGTACCTATGTGACGAGCATGAGATGAATAGTTTGCCATAAGTCAGCAAATATATTGCATATTTACTAAACTCCACAACAGAAGTCAGTAGCTCAAAAGTGTTCACAACTATGAATACATTTCTCTAAACATTCTTTTCTGTGATTGTGTATAACCAACACACAGCAAAGGTGCAAACATGTGCGTGGAATCGTGCTTTTTGTGTCAGACGTTGTTTTGTGAAGAAATTCTGAATCATACTCTCCTTCAAAAATTCAATTTCATACCGTGGCAACCTTTCTCGGCTGCGTTAGCCATACGTGCGGCCATAGAAGGAGCGAATCCTTTCCATTCGGTAAGATCCAACCACCATTCGTCGTCATACTTCGATTTACCGGACGAGTAATCCATCAATTCCAAATAGTCCGGCCTCCAGCTTTCCGCTGTGCCCGCGCTATAATAACTATAAATGTTGGGGAGCGGTGAAATAATCAGAATTGCACAGCCTAAAACAGGTAAGAAACTGATAGGAATTTAAGCAGAAGGTGCGAGGAGGTGCGAGCAGTGACACTATCACAACTCTAGGATTCGTAAATGACGCTTACCAGATTACGGTGTGCCCAGCGTCGCTCAGCTTTTTGATCTCATCTTCAGTAGTAGTCGACAGGTCAACATCGACCATTTCGCCCTTGAGTTCGTCTTCGTAGCCCCATGCTTGCAGACTCCACGTGGTGCCCGTTTTCAGTGTTTTAGTGTTCCTCCTTTGTATTGATTTTCCGTGTACATCGTATGCGACTGCTGCAAGGACGCATAGTACTGTGGCGAGTTTCTGCATGTTGAAATATACTGCGGGAAACTACTGCAGGGTTAGCGTATTTGAAGATTGCCTATTTGATAATGTATCACCAATTTTTTATACATTATGATCAGTGCAAGGTGTATTTTTCAATGATATACGAAGAAAGTGGGTTTCTAGGTAGCGTTTCCTTAAGAGCCCCGTAAATCATGATTTCTCCTGAACTAATAAAAAGATCATCAATAATTTACACAACACGAAGAGAGGACGTCTGTACTCTGTTGGCGACTTCCTGTCGTTTACCAGCCTGTCGGGGCCAGCATAAGCATCGTTATTCGCGAACGTTAAAATATAAAATAAATACATAACGACGGGCAATCGCCAACATAGCCTTGAAAATCTTCAATTTATTTACTCTATGTAGTTAAAAAAAGAAGACTATGTATGGCAGGCAGCCTAGCGGGAGTGGCGGCCCGCTATGCTAAAAGCCAAAAGAACACTATGCAAAACATAAGTATTTTTTAAAAAACAGCGAAAGGGGCAACGGAATTTCCGAATATGTAATACATAATAAATAAATGTACGTGTACCTATTCGGCTTCGGGATTTGCGGGATGTGTGTGACTGTGTGTACTATGTAGTCTGCAACCTGTAGGTTGTAGCCTGCAGGGAGTGCAGGCAGAGCAGGGCTCAGGGCGTAGGGCCGTAGGCCAACAACAAGACTCAAGAGAACGAAGTCGCGAAGACTGAAGACTTGGACCACTTCGAGTTTGGAGAGCCGAGAGCCCAAGAGGACTGAAGACAGTGAAGAGTGAAGACACTCTACTAGAGTACTAGTTGTAGTAGAGTAGACAGTAGACAAAACTAGAGTATCGACTTCAGAGTATGGGACTACTAGGTCTCTACAAGGTATAGTAGTAGTATTGAGTATTGACTAGAGAGACTAGTAGAGAACTAGCGACTAGAGCGATCAGTGATCCCATCACTGATCACCAGAGTCACTACACAGTTCTGCCATATATAGCATAGCGTTACGCTATTGGTTTAAACAATATTCCGATTAACCAATAAAAGGTGCAAGTATTTGTTATTGAATTGCTTTACAGTAAATAATACTCACCTTTCTTAAAAACCTCAAATCCAACTACAAAAAGAGCGACGAATAATTAGCGACCTGTATTTAATACAAAATAAATAAATACCGACTGAGAAAAACAGAATATCTTTTTTTAAATTATGTCTTTTACAAATCAAAATTGTTGGTGTTCGCCCTAAAAATACGACACAATATGTACCGAACATCTATGTACTGTTGCTGACATTCGAAAACTGAATCCAACACTCAAGAAAGAGAGAGAGAGTGACAGTCTGGACAGAGAGTACATAGAAAAAATATGACACTCGGAATTTCGGAACTTCAGAAGTCGGAACTAAGAACTTGGAAGTCGAGAATCCTTGACTCCTCTTGTGTGGGGCGTGCGCTAAATAATGGGCTTTTGACCACTTTTCAAAACTATATTGATACTAAAAATACATATCGCTGGCACAAGTGAGATAACAAACGACGTGCAGTTCACTTACATAGTATACACGGCATAAAGATAGGGTTGTGCTGTCCACACGAACATTGACAACAAACGACTGAGTGCGATATCAGATAATATGGCTAAAGTGTATGTCTCCATTACGAGTCCGTATATATACGCGAGACCCGCAATCATCTACCCTGAGCGTGCACGCGTTCGGGGGAGAATTCCTGCTTTGCGACACATTCGTCTACGCGGTAGTAGAAGGACGCAATGTGTAAATCTGTCCTGAGCTGGGAAAGTTAGACAAGAGTGCATTCACCACAAAAAAAGGTTTATATATTCATCTATATGCGCTTTAAGGCAACAAACAAGAATATGGACACATACATCAAATCACGCTCATACGAATAGGTTTACGTAATATATATATATATATATATATATATATATATATATATATATATATATATATATGTGTGTTAGTGTACGTAGTACGTTAGTTAGTTAGTAGTTATTAG